TGTTTAATCAATAACTCTTTGATGATCAATATTTTTGAATTCATTACCGAAACAAAAATGTTTATCTCAACTATTTTCAACTATATATTATGATATTCACATCACATGTTACATAATTAGGGGGCCAAAAGGGGCCAGAATGCCAAATCTTTGGCACTCTATATCTCGAAAGTGGGAAATGTTTTGATAAGCAATATTGAATAAAAGATGTTCAAAATGATGTTCTGAACAACATGTAACCTTTCGATTTTTGCTAAAGGTCCCCATTAAAGAGTTGCAGGGCCAGCCCCTAAATATATCTTTTGCATATACCTCGGAAACGAAAAGGAATTTTTGAATAGTTGTTGAACCTTTCCCTGATAAAATTTTTGGGATTTTCCTTAGGACACTTTTTTAAACCTCTTCCGTTCGCCGGACATTGTCCGTTGTCCCCTGCTCACCGCGGGGAGGTGGAAGTAGGATTTTGAGCAGGATATATATGTTTTCTACAGTATTTTATATCTTTATCTCTCAATAAGCACTAAAGAGATAATCAACCTACATGTATTTACATCAATAAAAAGCCATAATATATATGATATTGAGATGTATACGCAAGATATTTTTCATCATATTAAGGATCTCACAATATCTTAAAATGATTTTGATTTCAGATGTCACAGTCAACAAGTTTTAAGGATACATAACACAGACAAAAATTTGATGCCTGGATTAATATATATTTTTGGACTGATTTTGAATAGAAATGACATAAATAATAAATCCCAAAATATAATGAAATCATTAGTTTTCTTTTGTGCTTAAATATGCGACTTTGTTTTGTTTTCTATATAATTCTATACATCTCTTAATAAGCACTAAAGACACAATCTACCTACATGTATTTACATCAATAAAGAGACATAATATATATGATATTGAGATGTACGCAAGATATTTTACATCATATTAAGGATCTCACAATATCTTATAATGATTTTGATTTCAGATGTAACAGTCAACAAGTTTTAAGGATACAAAACACAGACAAAAATTTGATGCCTGGATTAATATATATTTTTTGACTGATTTTGAAAGGAAATGACATAAATAATAAATCCCAAAATAAAATGAAATTGTAAGTTTTCTTTTGTGCTTAAATATGCGCCTTTTTTGTTTTCTATATAATTCTATACAAAATTTTGCATATATTTTTAACATTGCAACAAAATCTTTAAAAGTTCTCCGATTTTATTTGGGAAATATTATTCAGGTTACTTATTTGAATATAAATCTATGAGAATTTTGCTGATTTCTGCAAAAAGTTTGTTTGTGTTATTTATCCTTAAGATTAGACTTAGCTTTTATATTATTGATATGATTAAAAGAATTTCCATACCATCTTGAATTTCTTTCAGTTTACTTACATGTAACATTTAAAAAAAACGAAATTTTCAATAAAATTCCAATTTCTCAATATGAACTTACTTAGATTGGCAAAAAAAAACTTACCCCAAGTTCCAAAAATATCCTAACGTTTTCTTTTAATATAACTAGCATGGCATTCTTTACTCTAATGTCGTTTTTCACAAGATAATAAGTCGTTTTCACGAGATAATTTTTCGTTTTTTCACAAGATATATTTTTCTTGATATCTTAAAAAAAATAACTATGTGTCCTAAATGGACCACCGTATTCCTCCAAGGTCGGAACTTTAATATCGGGTTCGAAATTCGACAACCACCACCGACTGACCAAGTTTTTATCCGTATTTTATCATTGTTTATGAATTCATCCATATAGATGTGGTTGATTTAATACAGGATATCAGTTCACGACATTCTAAGTAAGCTAACACTAATATTTACTATAATAACGGCCAGCTTATTTTTCAGTAACTAAACACTTGCATTTTCCAAAATTATCTATAGCATATGATACATACACCTGTAGGCCTACTTTCAAGAAAATATGTACATTCACATATCACCTCAATTTCTCAACACATACTTGTCATCAGCAATCAGTTCATAAGCATGAAATCTGTGGATTTATGGAATCTACAGTATCATCAAAATTTAACTCTATGTATATATACATATATTGGAGTACACGATGGTGAAATTTGTCAATGATTGGATCTTTATAGTAAATATGTACAGTACATTAATAGGTGTCAATGGATATTTACAGCGTCTACAGTACAGTCACAAATAAATAGTATGAATATTATATTGGACTATGTAGTGGTTAAAAAAACCAAATCTCTGAATCTCAACAGCATATACATTATTAAATCACTGTATAAAATGCATGTATATGAGTACAAAATTTTCGAATAAGCTCAGTCATTAGACCTTTACAGCTTGTACAGAATGGTCTGAAAATTAAAACACTATATTGTATAAGGACATGATGATGGTCAAAATATATATACCTTAGTCTCTGAAACTTCACAGCATGTACTGTACAGTCAAAAATTTAAAACACTGTATTTACAGAGGAGCACACAATGTTTGAAATTGCTAATCTACTGGATCTTAACAGTGTGTACAGTTTGGTAAAAAATTAAATGCTATACACATGTATTTTGGACAACAAGATTGTCAAATAGTTAACTAAGAGGATATTTTCAGGATGTACAGTATTCAGTATAGTCACAAATTCAAAACACTATTTATGGTAAAATATATAGCACTATACAATCCATCTTTCCAGAATGAAAAATACCTACAAAAATGTAAAACTCTAGCTATTACACTGTATATTAAGGGCTACAGGATTTTCAAATAGCTAATGCAATGGATCTTTACAGCATTGTACAGATGTACAGTATGTCCATATATTTAATATATTGAGTATATTATATGAGCATACACAGTGGTCAAAATAGCTATCTCACTTGATTTTTACAGCATGTACAGAATAAATTTAAAACACTACTTATAATATTTAACTATATATACTACACAATGTTCAAAATAGCTCAGTAAATGGATCTTTCAACATGTACAGTATAGTCGCAGAACACTATATATAATAATAAGACTACACAATGGTCAAAGTGGCTAACTCACTGGAAATTTACAGCTTGTAATGAATGGTCACAAATGTAAAACACTGTATATTGTATATGGAGTATGCATCATTCAAAATAGCAACTCCTTGGATCTTTACAGAATGTACAGTATTGTCAAAAATTTCAAACACTATCTACATTAAATAAGACTACCCACTGTTGAAAATAGCTAACTCATTGATCTTTACAGCAGGAACAGTATGGTAAAAAATCATGCTACATTTAAGAATACACAATGATCAAAATAGCAAATTCACAAGATCCTTCCAGTACATCAGACAACATTAGAGTCAAAAAATGGTCTGAAAAGTTAATTCGTGGATCATCACATCATGTTTAGTTTATATAACACTATATACATATTATGTAGGATTACATACAATTTACAACACTTTTGAGAAACAATACCCTGGATCTTTACATTATATCATGTTATATACACTACAGTCACAAATTTAAAACATTATTTCATTTAAAGGGGTCTTTATGCTTCTCAAAACATTATTACTGGTACTAACCTGTTTAGATTTTCTTTATTTGTTTCATTACAGGCATTTATCTACATCTGACAACTGATTTTTGACATTTTTCAGACAGTTTCAATCTGACAAAACAATAAATTGTTTCTGTCATGGCACTCAAGATTTTTTGTTCTAATTTTGTTTCTCTGACATACGACATTTGGAATATATTTATTAGGTTTCAAATATCCTGCTATCAATACATGGTCATAAATCGGTTCCAACTTCATCCTTATCCATAATGACAGAGTAGTGCATAGCTATTTCCTGACTAAAGTTTCTTAAATTATGTAATTCTGTCTAATGCAAGGCAGTAGTCATCTGCCATAGAAGGATGCATAAATACTACTGACACACAATGTAAGTTCTAGTAAGACTGGATTGCTTGAAAAATGAAACATCATAATTAGTTATCTGCCAATTTCAGAAGTACAGCATCATGGTAACTATAATATGTTGGTAATCGATGGATACTGCCAATTTGTATAGAACTGGATACATACACATGATCCAAAATTGTCCCCCCTTCAGTGGTGCTAAAGGATACAAGCTGTCGGAAGTTTTGATTTCTCAAAAATCTTTGAAGTGGACCATTATCTTTGGCATCCTCGTTAAAATCCCCCAGAATGATACTGTTCTGATCATTTGTTTTTAAGAAGTCAAGAACTTTCTGAAAACTCTGAAGGAATGCTGCCATTTTTGCTATGCATGGGCGATATACAGATAACAACAAAATATTTTCTTTACATAACCTCACAGCTATTCCTTCAATATTCATCTGAGACAGGGGAAAAATTTCATAAGAATCTTCACTATCTTTCAAATACAGAGCAACACCTCCACCTTTTGACATGTGTAAACTCTCATATAAGACAGTATTTTCCTCGTATGCTTCCTTTCTAGGGAGATGATGAAACTGAAACCCTTGAAGAGCAAAATTCTCTGTGTTCTCCCCAGATCTTAACCATGTCTCTGTTAAGCATATAACATCAGCCTGATTGAACCTGGCATCATTTTGTAGATCTCCAAAATGGGTACCTAAGCTCTGTATGTTATGCAGAACTATTTTCTTTCCACACGAATTTAAAGTTTGTGAAATGTCACCAAAAGTAACTTTTGCCATTTCATTTAAAGCTGTCTTCACTTCTGGATCAGCATAAACATTTTTCTGTAATCTAGCTGGATCTTCTGTATCAATAAATAGACCAGCCTTTGATGTAACCCTTGATAATGCAACATATGCTTGGCCCGGGGCAAATGCTCTATCTAAATTTACTACTACTTTGTCTGTTGTCATCCCTTGCACCTTATGAGCCGTGCATGCCCAAGATAACCGAATTGGAAATTGGTGACGTACCACTGTAGTTATCTTATCTTTTATCTCTTCTTGCACTCTTTCTATGAACACTAAGTTCCCATCCTTAGTTTTTTTGACCTGACTTCTTTCCAACTTCCATATTATCAAAAACAACTCCTACAGCTCTAACAATTCTATTATTGTTGTCTTCAAAAACAAACTGACAGATATACCCCATTACTCCATTCACAAGTCCATCTTCTACATTACAATTTCTTGTGAGCATCACTCTTGCTCTGATAGACAAGATCACGCTGCTTGGAAGTCCATCATTTCTTGATTTTGTAATAGGTCTGTTTTTCAGGATCAATTTACCAGATGTTTTGTCCTTCTTATAATCTTGAGCATTGATTTCTAATAAATCTTCACAAGATCTCTTTAACATTGTGAGATTGAATGTGTTTACCTCTTCATTGGTAGAAAACACATGAAGAACATCTTCTGGTCCTTCCCTGATGCAGTCTTCTAACATAGTAGTTTGCTCCTGTGTCAATGGTTGATCTCTCTCTCTTACACGAAGGGAATTCAGAACCTCAGCAAAAGACAAATCATCTCTTTGTCTCATAATCCCTTTTAACTCAATAACCTTAAATAAGTCAAGCCAATAGTCCAGAGGATATTTCATATTTTCTTTGTAAAGCCTTTCATCTTTTCGCTGCTTAACTGGAGGAAGCTGATAAAAATCTCCAACAGCAATAACACAGACTCCACCAAATGGTTCTCTGCATTTCTTAATCTGTACTAATCTTTCATGTATGTAGTACAGTAGTTTTTTGTACACCATTGATATTTCGTCAATGATAAGAATCTGCAGATCTCCTATTTTCACTCTCAATTCACTGAGACTTTGTTCTCCAAGTGGTTCATAAGGCAATGGAAGATACTTTGTTAATGAAAACAAGTGGTGTAGTGTATTTCCACCAATGTTGAAAGCTGCCGTTCCTGTGAATGCTGCGAGAAGCACTGATATCCTTTCCGTGTCAGACATAATTCTTGAAAGCAAACGCGATGCTTCATAATGAATAGCTTTAATGAGATGACTTTTACCAGTCCCTGCACCTCCAGTTACAAAAAAATGTAAGGGTTCACATTTCTCCCCTGTAATCTTTGCTAAACACCAATCACGCACCATGTAAAATATTTCCCTCTGTGTTTCATTCAAATTCTGAAGAACAGGTATCATTTCTTCTCTAGAAATCACGTTTTGTTGAACATGATACATGACATCTGCATTATGTTTGTCACTCTCAATATCTGGTATAATATCTACACTATCCTGTGGTACTGTGTTGTCTTTTCTGAGTGCTACACCTTCCCTTCTGAGAACCTCTGTTTCTGGACATATGCGTGACCATGCATCTTCTGGTTCACCATTTATTTCATATGCTTCCTGGGCATTGTCAATTACATCTTCATTTTTTGCATACTTTGAATGATTCAAATCTACAACTGACTTCACCGATTGTTTACGTTTCCTGCCAGAAATTTTCACGTAACCAGTTTCATAAAAATCTTCATATAAATTAAACCCTGGTGGCTTCAACTGTGCCTCTGTCCAGTGAGGGAGAAAAAGTTGCAGAAGAGATTGATAATATTTTTTCTGACATTTTTTCCACATTGAACCTAGGATATCTTACAACAGCATATTGTGTTCTTGTTCTTCGTTGCACGTAACCCTTCCCATTCTGTAATTCAAACACATTTTGATTTTCCTTTTTGGGAACTTGAGATTTAGCCAGCACTCTGAATTCAGAACAGAAATCTGCAAGGCACATTTCATGGAAAATCGTCTTATTTGGTCGGTTCATATAACGTTCTATAATGTTGGTCATCCAAACTTCATCCTCGTCATCATCTTCCTCATCAGTCATCTCTACATCCTTTGAAGATTTCTTCTTCAACAATGACAGAGGCTTACTTAAGCGCACTGGGTTATCGCCAACGGGCACAAAAACAACTTTCCTAGAACATTCCTTCATCTTTAAGTTACACACTCTGTACACAGCTTCCTGAGCACTTACTTCTCTGTGATGCAAGTAAGCTGAACCAATTTTCTTCATTGTCTGTCTGGCATCATAATTTCCTTCTTCAGCCTCCAATTTTGTTTGTTTAAGTAACATGCCCATTTCCCTTTCTGACTTTGATATATAGGAAACAATATAAACAATACAACTGAATGGATCCAATACAAACTGTATGTCCATATTAGCATCCCAGGATTTTAACAGGCAACTGTTATATTGGTTGGTCCACACTTCATTTGGGCAGCGTTCAAGAATTATTGATCTTTTTGATGATAACATGTTATGGGCTTCTTCATACAGTTCCTGAGTTAGTGACAGTTCATCAAATAACTTCTCTGTTGTTAGGATTCCTTCATCTTCATTCTGTATTTTATCCCAAACACTAACTAATATGTCCTTCGCATATGCCTTGTTTACTTTTGTTTCAGAATCTATTCTACAGTCATCTGAGTTATCTTCCTCTTGGACACTTGTTATGAAAGTCTTTTGAGATGGAGGCCTAGGGAAATTAAACCTACATTCTGTACCCTTCTTTTTACAAGATTTTGAATGTTTCTTACTGTGTTGTTGTACTTCTAAGACGCTTTTTCTCAATTCTGCGTCATCACTTTCTGATGGTACAGCACATGTCACATATCTGTCAATGAAGTTGCATACAGCTTCCTCTCCATCTGAATCAATATTCGGTGCATTTTCAACCCAATATAAACAATGCATGTGGGGGGATCCCCTCTGCTGAAACTCTACCCTTTGAAAAAAGTCTACTACCTTTCCTATTGGTTCAGCTGGGGAAAGTATGACTTCCTTGTGAAATATTTGAAATCTATGTTCAAACATTCTAGCTACTGTAACCGGATTTGACCTTAAAACATCATTCTTTTCTGACCATTCCATTTGATCTGGGTTTCTGTCATTGTTTTGTTGTCGTAATATGACTTTAACAGCATCATTCCATCTATATTCTGCTGCAGAAAACGAACAAAACCAAGTTGGAATTCCTAACTGTCGCAGCATTGCAAAAAGGTCCTTTTGAGTAGTTGCCCAATACGCAGGTGTTCCTCTTATTGGTTGCATAAATCTTATAGCATCATCATTCCTCAGCAGACTAGAAAGAGTAACTGGATCTTGCAACATGTTCAATGTTACTGGTTTCCCACTAGTACATTTTGATAGAGATTTTCTGAATGAAATTTGTGTTTTTTCAATCACTTGATTCAATTCAGACATGTACTGGCTAAAGAAAATGTAATTGCTATCCTTTGCAAACCTGTTGTCTGCGTTCATTAACCTATTGTTGAAATACCTAGACAGTGTTAATTTTTCTGACCTTTCTTCATTCCAGGAAAAACAACCACTTGGGAAATGACAAGGAAAAGCCTTTGCTTCATTGCCAGGTTCCTGTAACATTCGAACTGGGTTCTTTCCTTCGCCTGGTGCAATGTTGTACACATCATCAAAATAATGGTCTAAAACTTCCTGTGCAACATCAATTGGTTGTAGACATGTGTCAAATGCTACCATTTCCTCTGCAACTTCTACATTATCTTTTGTATTAACTACATCATCTTGCATTTCTTCATGACTCTTTAGACCTTCTTCCAAAGTTGATTCAATTTTCACATCCTTGTACCAATGATTGTTCTCTTTAAGATATGATAAGGCTGACATGACATTGTTTGTATTAACAAACTGATATTCAAAGTACCCTTTGTAACTCAATTTCCTTTTTAACTTAACACGCAACAACAAGTTTTCATCCTGATGCATTGGTAAACTGGCAGCCTTTCTCATATCTGATGGCACACATATAACAGGTCCATGTATATTTTTCTGCTCACCATGAGGAAGAGCCATAACTTTCATGAATGGTACGTGAATTGCAATCAAATGCTGTTCTAAACTGTTCAATTTTGTCAATTCAGGTGGAATATCCTCGAGAATCATACTGTTGACTGCTGCTTCAGCTGGTGCTTTGCCACTCATTATTTTCCTGTGACAAGTGTAACAAATCCATAATGATGATTTGGTACATGATTCCGGGCAAGACTCAGAACATTCATGCAAATACTTGTCTAACAAACAAATGTCAGAAATACACTTTGCTGATTCACTTTTTTGATACATCTGATATTCACAAGCTAGAACTTGTTTGCTAAACAAAAGTCTATGGCAACAAGTGCAAGCATAACTTGGACCCTCCATAGCTTTTCTCTTAAACGATCTAATAACTTCCCCTTCCTTTTCTAAGTTCAATTTCTTCAGCTTCCTGTTTTGTGTAACTTCCTCCTTTTTTTTATTCCTTACTTCCTCTGATAGCTGGTACTTAGTTCTACTACGTTCCTTCATGTTGGACTTAACTTCAGTATCAGTTTGATATCTCCTTGCTGCTCTTTGTTGCACATCTGCTTTAAAAGTTTCATTTGTACTATATCTATGAACATTAGCAGCTTTGTTTTTCATTCTGTAAGTTTCATCTTCTTTGTATTTTTTCAATACCCTCTCTTTCACAATAGCCTTATGTTCCAAGTCTGTCCTATACTTGTCATTACTTCTCCTCTTCACCCTTTCCTGATGTTCAAAGTCTGTCCTGTATTTCTCAGTACTTGCTTTCTTTAATTTTTCTCGATGTTCCAAGTCAGTCCTGTACTTCTTAGTACTTGCTTTTTTCACATTTCTCTGATGCTCCAAGTTTGTCTTGTATTTCTCAGTGCTTGCTTTTTTCACGTTTCTCTGATGCTCCAAGTTTGTCTTGTATTTCTCAGTACTTGCTTTTTTCACGTTTCTCCGATGCTCCATGTCTGTCTTATACTTTTCAGTGCTTGTTTTCTTTACCATTTCCTGATGCTCATAATCTGTCCTGTACTTTTCTTTGCTCTTTTCTTTCATCTGTTCTCTGTGCTGAGCATCCATCTTATATTTTTTAACACTCTTCTCCTTTTTTTCCTTTCTATGATTCAAGTCTGTCGAGTACTTCACTTTACTTCTCTTCCTACTTGTTGATTGAACTTCTTTCCTGTGCTCTAAGTCTAATGCATATTTCTGAACACCTTGTTTGATCAGTTTAGACCGATAAGCTATGTTATTGTGATATCGTTCTTTGTTCTTCAGCTGTGCTTTCATCTTAAACTCTGCATCACAGTACATGCTCTTTTTTTGTTCTAACAATTTGGAGCGAAACACTTCATTTTCCCTGTACTTTTTCCTATATGCGTTCTTACGACTTTCCTTAAAGTCTAATGCCACTTTCGATTCTGAAGTTCTTCGTTTTGTTTTCATTCGTAATCGATTACTTTTCCGTAGTGTATACTCTCTCTTACAAGACCATTTTTGAATGACAGATTCCTTTTCAGTCATCCTTGCTGACACATTTAAAACAACATCATAATGGTTCTGATGTCTGTGATATAAATAAATAGCTCCCTCCTGTTCAAGTAATTCATGGAAAGGCCTTTCCCTGCTGAACTGAAGCCATTTCATATCTGAATAGGTGAAAATGTCTGCACTCAACATATCTGACATGGCAGAAATCTCCAATTCAGTGGCCCAAGTACCTTCTTTTGTCATTTTACTGGAAAGTAAGTATTGCCTTAATGATCCCTCTGATCTCATATACTGCTGAAATTTTGTTTCATGTTGCAGCAAATGTTGACAAACAGCTTCACGAACATGTTGGTGATGGTTTTCAGAGTTTGTGAGACTGAATGATATCGCTCTGAAAAAGCAATTTCCATCCTGTTCAATTTCTTTACATTGGCTCGGTTTATCAATATCTTTTACGAACACCGACTCTTGTTCCCATTCAGGAATAGAATATGGCAATCCCAACTGTTTGCATAATTCCCTTTGTTTCTGTATAGACAATGGGATAAAATCATGTTTTTTTACTTCTTCCCCAATGATAATTACTTCATTTGGCTCTATCATATCTGATTGATCTGATATTATGCCACCTTGTTTTGAACCATCAAATGCTCCTGAATAACTCCGAGTTTCTTTGACCTCTGACTGACTTGAAAAATTAACACCTTGGTTTGAACATTTAATTGCTTCATCATAGACTTCTGCAACAACAAAATGCTTTATTGAACATAATACTCCAGTTAATTCACATTCTACAGTCCTTGAAAACCCCATAGAAACAGCCAATAACCTAAGATGCAAATATACATCATGAACATTCTTTAAAATTAGTCTTGTACTCTTCCCCCTGACACTAAGATATCCTCGGGAGCATCTGGCATGTGAATCAAAAATAAAAAAGCCATCATTTGTTTTCCCTATTAAAAGGGTATTTCCCCCAAAACACGCAAAACATCCATTTGTCTCAGTAAGTGCCATTTGCAAAGCTTCAAAAAGGGGATAAGCATTGAAATCTCCATAACATGGTTCTTCCTCTGATAAGCTGATTAAACTAGGGACCAGAACTTTCACTGTGAAGTCAAATGTTTCGTTAAAGCATTCAAAAAAATGAGGTAACTCTTCCACTAACAAAAACCTACTAGTAATTGAGGAACAATGCTGCAGGTATGTGTATAATTCATCTCCAGTCACCAAAATTTTGTTCATATCATTTGTTTGCCAAATAGCTGCACTCTTCAGAACATTGTAAGCTAAACCTGCTAAACAATTTGCTACACATTGTGTTCCTGCATTATCGCCAAACAATGGATCAGCTTGATGAAAAGAACCCTGAATCGAGACTGAATTCAAAGTCCCAGCTTTCCAGTGTGAATTTCCCTCATCATCACTATTCTGCATACTAATACTTTCTTTTTGATAATTTTCCTCATTCAAATCTTTAATATTCTGACTATAATCATATCCTTCCTCACTCATACTTCTGTCAGTCTCTTCTACATTTCTCTCTTTCACATTATCTACACAATCAATTTCAATTCTTAACTTTGTCACATTTTCTTTAATCTCCCTACTGTATTTACATTCCATCATATTTTCTACAGTATCAGATTTTTCATTCAATATTCCATTTGTGTTACTTTGAGATTCTTTTTTAATGTCCTTCAGGTCTTCCTCATCTTTTTGTATCCTACTGGTCTCCTCCTCCCTGGAGGTATCCAGCTGCGTCTGACCTGCTGGACCAGACATATGCACTATGCCCAATCCAGGTGCCCTCGGTGGAGCACAAACCCACGCTGGGGAGTCAGGGGACGGTGCCTTGTCCTCGTTGCGGACAAACAGACGACTTCCCCGAGGAGATGGCAACCTCGGGGCATTTAGGTGCATTTTCTCACAAAGAGAGGCCTGCACCCTGGCCAAGGGTTTTCCCTCAACAGGAGGCAACCCTATAGAGCCTTGCCCCGGAAAGTTACCGGGAGGAGCTGAGTCAGCTCCATCCGCTGTCCCGCAAGGAACAGCAGATTCTTGAAACGTTGAAGCTGAGACTTCACTTGGCAGAACTTTTGCAGCCTTTTGCCTCTTTTCTCTCTTCCTTAACTTATCAGCTAGTAATCGCTGTCTTGCAGAAATTTTCTTTCTCTTTGCCATCTAAAAAAATTACAATGATCAATTGATGCATCATATATACCCCTATACCCCCTTTTCCATTTTATTTTCCTTTTTAAATCATAAGTTATGCTTTTCTCTATTGTAATAATTTTATTTTGATATGGTTCATCAAACCATTGCTTTTCTTGACCAGATTTCCTCCCATACATCTATCTGTTAAAATTCTGATAACCTAATGTAGCCCCACCCTATCCTCAGGTGCGAATTGGGATTTGAATCATCTTGAATCTACACTTCCTGAAGATAATTCCATGTCAAAAAGACAATCCATGCATTTGCTGATCTTGACTAGAAGATTGTTAAAATTTTTTCCCCATATATTCCTATGCTAAACTTTTCATCCCCATTGTTGCCCAACTTTACCCCTAGGGTCATAATTTTGACAAATTCTAAACAACACTATGTTATGCAGATCCTGAGAAAATGTCTATTGCTTCTTTTTTTTTAAAAAAAAACTACATTCCTATGTAAAACTCTGCATATTGGGGCCCCACCCTATCCAAAGAGTTGTGATTTGATCAAACTTGAAACTACACCATCCAAGTTCTTCCAATTCGACATGACTCTTTCTTTGCTGTTTTTGCAGCAAAGATTTATTATATTGAGATTTTTTTTTCATATGTTTCTATGTAGAACTTTGTTAGCTCATTGTGAAGCCGCACTACCCCTGGGGTCATGATTTGAACAAACTTGAATCTACATCTCCTGAAAATGCCTTCATATCAATATGACATATCATGCTTTTGCTGTTCTTTTAAATTAGTACAAATTTTTGACCTATGTCTTCTTGTGTAAAACTTTGCCTATTGTGGCCCCACCCTAGCCATGATTTGTTCTTGAGAAGTTTTAAAAGATTTCTCCAAGATATTACTACATAAAAAAATCTTATCCCCATTGTGGCCCCACCCCCTTAATTTCAGAGGTCATGATTTGAATAAAATTGAATCTACACTATGTAATGAACGTTTCATACAAATTTCAACTTTTCTAGCCCAATGGTTTTTAAGAAGATTTTTATATTCTTATTATGCCACCAAATTTTCACTAATTCTTAATCATTTCCCTTTCAAAGACAGTATGGCCCTTTATTTAAACAAATATGAATCATCTTTATTCAAGGATGCTTTGTGGCATATTTGGTTAAAATTGCCCTAGTGGTTTTTGCAAAGATGTCGAAAATGTGAACAGTTTACAGAGAAACGGATACCGGAAACAAGAGGACCATGGGCCACAATGCTCACCTGAGTAACATTGGCCCTGTTTTTCTTCACCAGATTTCCCCCTTGTAATACGAATTGTGGCCCCACCCTATCCCCGGGGGGTCATGAATTGTACAATTTAAAATCTACACTACCCCTTGATGCTTCCTTGTAAGTTTCACCTTTTCTGATGCATTGGTTCTTGAGAAGAAGCTTTTTCCTATATATTTCAATGTAAGACTTTGACTATTACCAAAGATATGTGTGTAAAAATTTTAAAATTCAGAAAATTATAAAAGTCCTGTGAAACAGGAAGTCAGAAATATAGGACCCGAAAATCACTTACAACTTATATTTAGGACCCCACATACCAAAAATCAAAGATTAGGAAAAACAAGCAAATTCAAACAATTGTGGTCCCCCAACTTCGGTGTCTTAGTGGAGGGAATGCCATGATTTATGGCATACTGTGTCAAATATGTACGCCCTATCATACGTCACGCATAAGTAATCACCAAATTTAAATTTTTTGAAAAAGGTGAAACATGGTCATGGTAAAAATTACAGCATGCTTGGAAACATCTTGTTACAGGTGATGCACATATCAAATATGAAAGTCCTATCTCTTCTCTGTCAAAAGTTATAAGAAAAATTAACATTTTTGAAATGTAGGTCAAACTTCAAGGTCAAGGTCACAGGGTAAAAAATCATTGTGTATTTAGAAAGGCCTTGTCACAGGTACTGCACATGTGCAATATGAAACCCCTAACTTTTCTCCCTCAAAAGTTAATGCCAAATTAAAGTAATCCTTAAATTTTCGAAAAGTAGGTCAAACCTCAAGGTCAAGGTCACAGGGCCAAAAATCATAATATATTTAGAAAGGTAATACATGTGTGAAATATGAAAGTTCTATCTCTTCTCATTCAAAAGTTATGACCAAGGTTAAAGTTTTTGTGACAGACAGACTGACTGACTGATGGACGGACAGACCAAGGAGATATATTGTCCCCACGCTTTCGCAAAAGCGGGGGACAAATGTAACCCTTATGTTATCAGTGGAAATTTATAATTCACTAAATTATGAAAAAAGATAAAGTTTCAACAAATAGGATGTTAAAACTTAGAGATCTGGAAATAGCTTACAATATACAAGTCATATCTAAGACTAGAAATTTTCCAAAAATCATAGCTTAAGAAAATATATTACTAATGATATCTGAAATGGACATTTTAAGATTTACAAATGAACAGACAGATAAAGGCAATTCCAGTTGTCCCCCTTCTGTGCAAGTGGGGGTATAATTTGCATGTTGCACACAAAAAAGACTTGTTTAAAGATTTACAACATTTACAACCTCTGTCTTTTGGGTTATATGGAAAGAATATTTCAATGAAAAAATTTGTTCATTTTTATGAAATACTTTGACACCCCACCTTTCCCTTTATCCCTGTAAATTGACCTTTAGTGAAAAACATGACTGAATTTTCATTTCATGAGGATACATATACATGTGACAATTCGACACTCTCAAGAATTTCATTAGTATATATTTAACATGTTTTAAGTTTTTCATATTTATTTTTTAATGCAAAACTATAGCCAAGGGTTGAACAACTACATGAGAATGCTTGCATATATATCTGTAAGAACTGATTTTCAAAAGATTGAGCTTTAATAACAATCAATCTATTTTGTTTTTCAAATATACTGTATTCCATCTGCTTTATTATAAGATGTTTACTCACAAGATTGCCTGCATATTCATTGAGAAATATAGCTTTTCCAAGCTTTTAACTGCCACATAAGATATTGGCTGTTATTCATGAAATTGAATATTTTGCCCCTCCCCCCCCCCCTTAAATAGTATTGAGAATGGCCTTTTATGCTAACGTTTGATGAGCATGAGATTATGGCCTTTTACCGTATTGTCATTGCCAATGTTGTAATCAGTATTAAGAAATTAATCACAGTTCATTGTCTTCACCCATTTCTACATAACCCTAATCTCAGTGGAGATTCGCCTGGGCTAGATATTTGGTCTGACGCCCACCGAATCTCGGGACAATCCTTCATAATTCACGTCTGGAAATTCAGCCCCAACTTTGGCCACCTATATCAAGAATTATTCACCTAGGTGACACTGTTGTTCGCTTCAGTTAAGTCATTTAGTTGTTTAATTAACTCCCCGTCACTATTATTTTCACATTGCTTACCGTCTAGACATATAAATCCCAACATAAAAACATTCACTAAAATCTGCGTTCAAAGTATGGTTCCCCTGACGTAATTGTTTATCTCCTCACACTAAAGAGTTCCTCTATGGTCTGTTTTCATTTCTATGAAAAATACTTAAAAGCCACAGTAGAGGTTCAGTATCACATAAAAGAAAATAGACTGTACGTGAATTATGAAGGACTGTCCCGAGATTCGGTGGGCGTCAGACCAAATATCTAGCCCAGCTGAATCTCCACCGAGATTAACATAACCCATTCTGCATACCTTGACACAATATTTCAGAGGAAAATTTTTCTTAGGTGTGTATCTGCTTTGGATAGATGACTTGAACTTACTTACAAGTCTTTTACTCTGACACAAAATTTCAGAAATCTATGAAATCTATACATTATGAAAAATCCAAACATATAAATGCTGGATAAACTTGGATTGGGAATGCTTATAGGAACATCATGCATATAAAGAGACCCATGGGCCACAGCGCTCACCTGAGTAACTTTGGCCTTGCTGTTTTTCACCTGATTTCTCCCCCCCCCCGTAGTACTTATTGTGGCCCCGCCCTATCCCCAGGGGTCATGATTTGAACAATTGATATCTACACTACCTCAGGATGCTTCCAAGTAAGTTTCAGCTTTTCTGGCCCAGTGGTTCTTGAGAAGAAGATTTTTAAAGATTTTTCCAATATATTTCAATGTAAAACTTGGATTCCCTATTGTGGCCCCGCCCTACCCCCGGGGGTCATGATTTGAACAATTTAGAATCTACACTACCCCAGGATGCTTCCAGATAAGTTTCAGCTTTCCTGGCCCAGTGGTTCTTGAGAAGAAGATTTTTAAAGATTTTTCCAATCAATCTGATTAAAATCAGATCCTCGGTACTCCTTTTTTAGCGATATGTCGCTAAGCGACATATCGTTAAAAAAGGAGCACCGAGGATCTGATTTTAATCAGATTGTTTTCCAATATGTTTCAATGTAAAACTTGGATTCCCTATTGTGGCCCCACCCTACCCCCGGGGGTCATGATTTGAACAATTTAGAATCTACACTACCCCAGCATGCTTCCACATAAGTTTCATCTTTTCTGGCCCAGTGGTTCTTGAGAAGAAGATTTTTAAAGAATTTTCCTATATATTTCAATGTAAAACTTCGATTCCCTATTGTGGCCCCGCCCTACCCCCGGGGGTCATGATTTGAATAATTTAGAATCTACACTACCCCAGGATGCTTCCACTTAAGTTTCAGCTTTTCAGGTCTAGTGGTTCTTGAGAAGAAGATTTTAAAAGATTTTTCCTATATATTTCAATGTAAAACTTGGATTCCCTATTGTGGCCCCGCCCTACCCCCAGGGGTCATGATTTGAACAAGTTAGAATCTACACTACCCCAGGATGCTTCCACATAAGTTTCAGATTTGAATAATTTAGAATCTACACTTCCCCAGCATCCTTCCAAGTAAGTTTCAGCTTTTCTGGCCCAGTTGTTCTTGAGAAGAAGATTTTTAAAGATTTTTACTACATATTTCAATGTAAAACTTGGATTCCCTA